GTATGCTGTGTGACGCGAATCGCGTTGACGAGTTTCACACACTCTGCATGTAATAAGCTTGGTTATTAAGCATCCTCCTTGGGGTTGATCAATGGCCGAGGGAAAGAAGTAAAGTGACATGAAGCTAGGCGATTAGGTGCCGTACGCAAGCATTGGTTTGAGTCACACACACAGTTACATGTTTATTATAATTTAACATAATACTTTACTTTCTATGTCAGCAGCTACTATGAGTATTCGTTATATACATAATAGTTTGTACTACTAATAGAATAAATATGGTATTAACTTTATTTAATTCATTTGATTTGCACAAACATTTATTTAAAAAAAAGTTATTTGATCTCTATGTTATTATACTGAACATGGAAGGTACTAACAGAAGGAGCCATGATGCCTCTCAAGTGGCCACTTGGGCCTCTTAACTAGATTACTTTCTTTTGTTTCAACTAAAATTAATCCTGATCTAGACATTGATATTTTGCGATTGCTTACACAAGTAACGAGTTAGCGGAATATGATATAACCTCGCCGATGTTTTAATGGGACCATAAAATATATGCGCATTGTGAAACTACGACCATCACACATGCGCACTGGGTTTGTTTAGGTGTGAAAGGTCAAAATACGCGTCTCAGAACCGGGAATTCAACAGACTTTACAGATTTCGCATGTTTTAATTATTAGCAACTGTAATAAGAACAAGATTTCGAGCGTCTACAACAAAAATTCCTAAGGACTCCTACAAAATATTATCACAGAGAAAATGTCTAGGCATGCCCTTCTTTTGATACTATCTTTTCTGGTGGCATTCAGTCTTGTACATGCACAGTCGTCTATCACTTCCAAATATTACCAAATGCCATTGTAAGAAAGTGCTGAGATCTAACGAGAACCAATATTTGTGAACAAACATTGACAAACGATCATAAGGTAAGGCTAAAACAACAGCATTGTGGCACCTTCTGTTACTACCTTCCATGCACTGAACAATTAATCATTACAAATCATTACAAATGACAAAGACAGTATGGTGATTGTAATGACCAATGAGAACAACAAAGATAATTATTTAATGTAATGTGAATATCATGTACATTTTTGAAAATATGTCAGTAAGTTTTATTGTTTTTACTGCGAGATGTATAGAAATGATAAATTCTGTGTTCTTTATTTTCAGGATATATTTTCCCCTATGGGTAATATTATAAGTTTGCAAGAAAGAAGTTTGACTGGAATATGGGCGCAAGAAGATGTACAGAGATGGACATGGGCAACTCATCAAGGTCAGCTCACAAGTCTTCTTTCAGTGGACATTTACTGCATTACTCATTCTCCAAACTTTGACTTTTTCTCTGCCTTTGGTTATGTGGTTGAGGGTTCAAAATCAGTTTCTGCCACAGACAATATTTTACACCTCAATCTGAGAGATTAAATGTTTTTTTTCAAATACACTATATAACTCATAGTTTTGTTTATTTATTTATATATTTTATATAAAAACTTTTCATCAAATCAAAACTTGGTAAATTTTTAAATAATGATGGAAACATTGTCAAACGCAAAAGAGTAGGCCTGCATGCTCTTAGACATAATAGTGTGAAAATCGTCTGAATGTAAAATGTACAATCCCAATAGATGGCAGAATATAGAAACGTTTTTACTTTGCCCGTATCATCAAAGATGGAAGGGAAAGGTATATTA